TGGTCTGTTGCTGATTTTAAAGAATTTAATTCTGAACGTGAGTTAAGATCTCTGATATCAAACACCTACACAAACACCTTTGTGCCTTATTTGTGTTTGTTTTATTTCAAATCAGGTGCTTAACTGCAGTGCTTTTAGAATTGCAGAGCACTTGGATTTTAATTGTATCAAGTTCAGGCAAAAGTGACTATAAAAGCCTCAAAGAATAATAATGGTTTCTAAATGCAAGTGAAAAGATGCTGAGATTTACATAATGGATTTAGTCAGACACCCCTACTGTTCTATAGAGGGAAAAGTGCATGTGCACAATAAATAAATTACAATCTGCCATCAGTATGTTGCATCTAATTGCATTGGTGGCTCCATTTTCCCCCTTGTGACTTAGGTGGGGTAACATGTTGGAAAGCACATATTTTTTCATTATCCTACTTAATTGTTTTGATAAATCTGCTTATAGATGACAGAGTTTTTTATTATTTCTACCAAGTTACTTATATTTAGACCAGATCTTTTGTGTGTTTACGTGCAAGATCTCAAAATATTTAAAAAAATTATTATTGTCTGTGGCTCAGATAGAACATGACCAATATCTTATTCTTTCACCTACTCTGCCTTCAGGCTGCCTTGCTATGTGTGCTTTTCATAGTGTCCACCTCCTAAATCTAGTCACTTCAGGAAAGAGCTGGCTAAAGCACCTCCTTCCACCTCCACACTGCCCTCCACAAGGGTGTTTTGATCTGTCTTTCAACAATTCATTGCCAAAATGATTTTCTTGAAAGGCTGTTCAAGTTAAGTGAATCTTATTTTAATATGGCAATGTAAAATTTACAAATTGTTACATTATTAAATCAATTTTTATGGAGACTGAATCTGTCTTTAAAAAAGAAGTGTATATAAAATGGAGATTTTTTGATTAATTTAATTTATTTGGCTTCAATATTTCTTTATCCTCTTCCTTCATACTTTTCCCTGTGTTTTTTTTTTTTTTTTTAATTTTAAAAATGGTGTTCCTTCATACTTTTCCCTGTGTTGTTTTTTTTTTTTTAATTTTAAAAATGGTAAGAAGAATGCCTTAAATATGGTCAAAATGGGGAAAACCAAAAAATGGAACAATAATAAATAAATGATCTTTTTTAAAATTTTTTTTTATTTTTATTTTTATTAAGAACCTTTAGAAATAGCCTTTCCTGTCAAAATTTTTAACCTTTTAGTTTTTGCCAGCTTGCTCCTTTTGTCTATTCAGTGCATTTATGCTCTGGAGTAAAGGAGAAAATCTAATATACGTGTTATGTTTTCATTTGCAAAGGAAAACTAAAGCAGATTAAGGATTAGGTTACTAGAAGTCTGTGTTGGATTTGTACAGCCAGGTTTTGGTAGCAGGGGAGCTACAGGAATGGCTTCTGTGAGAAGCTGCCAGAAGCTTCCTCCACGTCCAGCAGAGCCAATGCCAGCCAGCTCCAGGATGGATGTGCTGCTGGCCAAGGTGGAGCCCATCAGAAATGGTGGTGATGCCTCTGGGATTACAGATTGAACAGGAGGAAAAAAAAGTTTCTGGGCAGTTGTAATTGTGGCCAGAGAAGAGCAGAGCGAGAACATGTGGGAGGAACAGTCCTGCAGACACCTAGGTCAGTGCAGAAAGGGGGGGCAGGAGCTGCTCCAGGCACCAGAGCTGGGATTTCCCTGCAGCCCACAGTGCAGCCCATGGTGGGGCAGCTGTGCCCCTGCAGTCCTCCCCATGGAGCTCCAGTGATGCAGAAATCCACCTGCAGCCCATGGAAGAGATCCAGGCTGGAGCAGGTGGATGCTTGAGAGGAGGCTGTGACCACATGGGAGGCCTGTGCTGGAGCAGGCTCCTGGTAGGGACGGGCAGACCCATGGAGAGAGGTGCCCACACTGGAGCAGGTTTGTTGGCAGGACTTAGCTCCTGGTAGGGACGGACAGACCCATGGAGAGAGGTGCCCACACTGGAGCAGGTTTGTTGGCAGGACTTGTGATCCCATGGGGGACCCACACTGGAGCAGCCTGTCCTTGAAGGACTGCACCCTGTGGAAGAGTGGCCCATGTTACTGCAGTTTGAGGAGGACTGTTGCCTGTGGGATGGGCTCACATTGAAGAAATTCATGGAGAACTGTCTCCTGTGGGAGGGACCCCATATTGGTGCAAGGAAAGGACTCCTCTCCCTGAGCAGCTGCAGAAACAATGTGTGATGAACTGACCATAACCCCCATTCCCTGTGTCCCGGTGGCACTGGGGGAGGAGAGGAGAAGGGGGGAAGGTTGCAGAGAAGGTCTTACTTTACTTCTCATTATCCTGCTCTGATGTTCTTAGCAACAAATTCAATTAATATCTCTAATTCGAGCCTGTTTTGCCCATGACAGTATTTGATGAGGGATCTCTCCTGGTCCTTATCTCAACTCATGAACCCTTTGTTATATTTTCTCTCCACTCTCCAGCTGTGGGGGGGAGGGAGAAGTGGCTTTGGTGGGTGTCTGGCATTCAGCCAGCATGAACCCACCACAAGGTCACAGACAGGATACGTTATGGACTTGATTTTGCCAGACACTGGATGCCTGCGGCTTGCCTCGCACCAAGTGAATTTAAGGCACTTGTCACATGACCTACTCTTTTATTAGCTTAGTTGCAATGGAAAAGGCAGAGGAGAAGCATCAGAAATGGAAAATGATAGCAGGCAGTTTGTTCCACAAGAGTGATGGGAACTGCTATTCTGAAAGGCTTGCTGCCAAGGTAATGTAGAGGAAGATAGTAAGAGCAAAGGGAAATGAAGATTTCAGAATAATAGAAAATAATAAAAAAAGCACACAAACTATTTCAGGAGCAATAACTGCTCTAAGAAAAAGGTATCAACCCAGATGAATCACATCTACAAAAGGGGGGTAACTTAAAGTCATTTTATCAGACAAAGAGAAATAAGCATTTTTAGAGAGTGATTCAGTCCTTAGATAGATAGCATATCTTTCTCTCTTGTGAGACATCTCAAATCACTTAATAAAATTCCGATTGAACAGAGCTGGGGCACAATGACTGGGCATTATTAGACTGGTCCTTCCAAAAGTTTCTCCCTAAACTAGGACATGGGAAGTCTGATCCCAGTGCAGGAACCCGTATAAAATCCAGTAAACCCAAGAAAACCTTTCTTTAGTCTCTGAAAGAATGCCAGTTTTGCTACTGAAGCATTGCTCACTGCTTGGACCTTGCTCACTGCAGAGGGCTCCCTCCTGCTGCCAAGCACCTGGTACTGGCCTGCAGACCACGCAGGCTATCATTGAAATGTCTCTATGAGCCCTGCTATTTGTCTGAGCACCCATCCTCTACTTTGTTCTGGTGCATCCTCCATATACACCCTCTGAATGGAGCAGCGGCCTCAGTGCCTTGTCAGTAATTCAGCCTGCGTGCTCTGGCTTTGTCACCTTGGGAAAGGAGCCCAATGCAGTACCCAAGAGCTGCCCTTCCCATAGGAAGGAGGAGGAGGTACACGTTGCAGGCTTTCCCATGTTTGCCGTGTCTTTTGTGTAGGCTTGATTTTCACAGGGGCATTTGCATTGGAAAGGTCCAGTCCTACAGACAAAGGTCAAATGCTTTTCAGTGGAAACTTTCCCCCAAAAGAGACTGCAGCATCGAACTTTCCTGCATGAAAAAAGACATCTTTCCTCACGGAAATATTCTGCACACAGAAGCAAGATATTGTTGCCCTTTGCAATATAATGCAACTAAAGACATGCAGCTACCAACACGAGGCCACAAAAGAGGGCTGCTTTATTTTATTCCCAGATTTTCAAGCTCACAGTGCTTCACGTGAGGAAATTCGGTCAAAAGAGAGGATTGCTCGGAAAACCACGGCTTGATGAACATCTCGCTGCTGTCACGACCTCGAGACCGGACGCTTGGTCCGACTCCCGCGGGATGCTCCGTGGGGGCGTACGCGTGGTCCCACCGACCCCGCAGCCCTCCGGACACCGCCCCGCACCGGGCCACCACCATCTTCTTCCGCGCACCGCCGGCGCCGGCGGCAGCGGCGCGGCCCTGCAGGCGCGCCCTGCTCCGCCGCCGGGAGCCCCGCACGCCCC